CGAGCCCAGGGAACCAGCAGGTGAGCTACAAAATCCACCCAGGTGGAGGACTCAGCTCCATGACCTTAAAATCGGTGAGCAGAACAACAGAGAGACTCACTTTGTGTCTATCAGAAGCTTAGCCCCAGCAGTGACATGAGGACTTCCTGACTCTGCCAATGTGCTGACAAGGTGCAAATGTTAATATATATCTGAATGGATTGGCATCCAGCCTGCTTTGAAAAGCAGCCCAGTTAAGGTCCATATCACCCCACAAATAATAATAGCAGAAATAATAATACTTTCGTGAGGGCTTTATTGTACACCAGGCACAGTTCCAAGCGCTTTATATAAGTTATCTCATTTATTCTTTACAGCAACCCTATTGGCAGATATAAATACCATACCTCTTTAAAAGCAGAGGAGACCGAAGCACATGGAAGGTAGGCGAGCTGCTCCAGGTGGAGCTGGGACACGAAGCCAAGCAGTTTGGCCTTATGGTAAGGTTTCTCAATCTTGGCACCGTTAGGGTGTTGCGACAGATCACTCTTTGTTGTAGGGGCTGCCTGTGCATTGTGGGATGCTTAGCACCATCCCTGGCCTCCGCCCACTGGATGCCGAGTGGCGCCCCAGCCCCGCCCAAGATGAGACAACCACAGGTGTCTTCAGAATGTGCCAAGTGTCTCCCCCCTGGGAAGCTCTGCTCTGCTGGCCCGGCTGCTCACTGCTAAGCCTGCCTAGCAGAGCTGAACTGCATGGCCCTGAGAGGGTCCTTGAGATGCATCTAGGAGGGACACTCAAGGTGGTCGCTCCTCCCAGGTCTCCCAAGGGGACCCTCACAAGGGTTTACAAATCCCATTTATCAGTCATCTAGAATTGATCCGACCCGGGCAAACGATACCCTCCTGGCCCAGCCTGCAAGCCAGCTCAATAAAGCCACTTCTTGTTTTTGTGTTATAAAGAAGAGGTGGCGATGGCTTTTCTGGCTGGCTGAGCAGAGAGCACATTCACCTGGGCAGGTGACCAAAGTCTACTGCGGCAGGACAGCGTGCATAACGGGCTAGATTTCTTTGCTGGGTCTGGTCCCCAGTGCTGGGCTGTTTCCTGGTTTTTCTTCAGGAGATCTCTAGAGGCCTTGCCTCCTTCTTGCCTTGCTCTGCAGGCGACCGTGCCCCTCTCCCGAGCGCAAGACCCTGCGTCCACCATCTAAAGTCAGCTGCTTCAACATGGATTGGAGGAGTATGGAAAAATAATAATAAAAAAATAAATAAAATTAAAAAAATAAATAAAGTCAGCTGCAAGGGGGGCTAACGAAAGGCGGGCCCTGCGGGGGAGGGGCGGAGCATGCGCAGAAGTGCTTCTGGGGACCCCAGGGCGTCTGTAGGGCAGGTGGGGAGAGGCCGACCCTGAGGATAAGACTTGGGAGCTCTGCATGCCCTGCCAACCTTCCAGCTACATTCTGGAGACCCCTAAAAGACTCTTGGCAGAGGGGAGACATGCTGAGATTTGCATTTTTTGAGGATTACTTTGGCTGCCTGTGAATAGTGAGGTGGGTGAGTATGCTCTGCAGTTTGGCCTAAGAGCCAGACGGTCTGTCCCTACTTCCGGCCACATTCTTCCCACCACTTGCTACCTCCTGAGGACCTTGTGCCGGAATTGGGCTGCCCCACCCTGAGAAGGAATCCACACTTCCAACCTCCCTCTTACTGTCTGGGGGAGGCTGGGCAATGGGGTGTGGCTTCCCAGAGTGACACAGAGCATTAGGGACAGAACAAGGACAAAACCCCAAGGTTCTGGACCACCCCCCTTCACCCCTTGTTGGGGGTCTTCTCAGAGTGTTGAAGAAACGGGTTTCCAGAACCTGACCCTCACCTCCCTCCAGGATGAAGACACGCAGATTTATCGAGGTCCTGCTGTGCAGCAGCTGTGCCAGGCCCCGTGAGCAGCGGTGAGAGGTGCGGTTCACAAGCCTGACCTCAGGGAGACGCCATCCAGTCAGGGAGTGAGACCGAAGCTAGTGGAGGGAGGAGGAGGAAGGGGGGGAGGCACCTGGTCAGCTCCCCAGACGGTTTCAGAGCCTTGGGACACAGGTGGAAGAACAGGGACCAGGGGAAGGTGATGACTCCCTTTGGGTCCCACTGAGTTTGAAAGGGCCGTGCAGTGTCCAGGCAATGCCGGGTGGCCGCGCCGGAAGCTCCAGCAGAGCTCGGGGCCTGGGATGGACACTAGAGACCGTCCTTGTAAAGAGACGGGTTGAGCTGGGGGAACAGGCGAGGGGCACAGGAGGGATGTGCAGGCGAAGCTGCAGGTCTGGCTGAGAAGGAGGGGCTGCAGAGCGAGGAGGAAAGCCGGGGCGCGCAGTGACCCCGGGCCAGAGTGCCTGCCAGAGGACTGAACAAGACTCGCTGTCATCAGCAACAGGGACATGCTTATCGAGATGGAGTTTAGGTGGGTGCTGGGGGCAGAGGCCAGAACACAGCAGGTGGGGAAGGAGGCACATTGTCTTCGAGAAGCGGGGCTGTGAAGGAGAAGAGAGGCCTGGAGCTTGCGGGAAGGGCGGGCGCCCACTTTCAAATTCCTATCATTTTGACCATCGGAGGAACTGGAAGATGGGGGAAGCCCCAAGATATTTCCCCACGAAGCTGCCAGAGACCGTTTCCTCCAGCGGTTAATTCCACTTCCTCTGCTGCCACACCCACCATCTGCGCCTCTCCTCCCAGCCACGGCTTCTCTGATCTCGTGCAGACCTCTCACCTGGCTTGACCGCGGCTTGCGCTTGCGTGGTGCAAAAGTAGCTCAATGAGGCGATGCATGAAGGTGCCTGGGCTGCTCAGTGCTGGGGAGGGAGTTCAGATCCAACGCTCTCTGGCTTCCGAACTGGAACGTCCATGCCAACACCTGGTCCAAAGCATCTCAAATCTTTCCAGTGAAGACATTCCCTACTGCACATCGGAAAGAGCTCGCATCCCAGAAAACGGGGCGGGGTGGAGGGGGTGTGAGGTGGAGTATGGAGCAGCCACTACATAGCCAGTGTTCCTCTAGTGTTCCTAAAAACCTCATGTTTTAGCTTAAAAATGCATGCAATTTTGCATGCTCCTTTTTTATATACTTGTGTGCTTTGGGGTTTTAAAGTCATATTCTAAATTGCTCGCTTTCATGTGTAACTGACGCAGTCTGTCTCCCTCCAACCTCCCCCACACCTGTACACACACACACGCACACACACACTTTACAGTTGAGGAGACTGAGGTCCAGAGAGAAGGTCACATGGCCAAGGTCACAGAGCAAGTGCGTGGTACAGAGACTAGACTCTAGGTCCGTCGACATCCTATCCACTGCTCCTTCTGCCCATCCTCTGCCAAGGAAACTGAGGAAGGCATGGCTTTATTAGGAGTGTCTCAGATTTCACGTTCAATTTTGGCAGATGAAATTAGGAATGGGGAGCAGAGGGTTAGGGTGGAATGTGAGTAATTTAATTATTTGGGTTCCATAACTAGGTTCTGATGCTTTTAAGACTTGACACTATAATGTCTTTAAATAGCCACACTCAGGGGAGGATTTGACAGGCTTGCAGAAGACCTTTCTGCTCCAAATTATCTTCTCTATTTTGGTGTTAAGACTTGAAATACACCTTCCTCTTAAGTACTGTCCTCTCCTCCTAGGCCATTGCTATGGGTTGAGTTGTGTCTCTCCAAAATTCTAAGTCCTAACCCTCAGTGCCCCGGCATGTGGGAAAGAATGTGACCTCGTTTGGAGACAGGGCCTTCGCAGATAGCCAAGTTAAAATGAAGTCTTTAGGGTGGGCCCTAATCCAAAGCCACTGCCACCCTTATAAGAAGAGGACGTTTGGACACAGAGGGACATCCAGAGGGAAGATGGCCATCCCCAAGCCAAGGGCTGAGATCTGGAATCGGCCCATTCCTCACAGCCCTCAGGAGGAACCAACCTGCTGACACCCTGATTTCGGACTTCCGGCCTCCAGAACTGTGAAACAATAAATACACTGCTATTGTTCAAGCCACTCAGTTGTGGTACTTTGTCATGGCTGCCCTGAGAAACTAGCACAGTCCCGTCATCTTTGTGAAGGCTCGCGTTCCGGCGAAGGAGGGCACAGCTGCGTTCCCGCAGCAGAAAAGCGCGGCAGTCGCTTAGTGAGGGGTGCCTCTGGTTTTGAGCTGGACCCTCTCTTGTTGCACCGCACATGACATCTCCTTTCCTCTTCACTGGAGAGGTGATAATAATACAAAAATTGCTGCCCATGTTTACTGAGCATTTACTATGTACCAGGCAGTTTTGAAGGCTTTACATTTAATACCCACCAGTAGGAGATATGAAGCCCTATTATTCCCATTTTGCAGATGAAGAAACTGAGTCCCAGTGAGGTTAAGGGCCTAACCCAAGTCACTCAGCTAACAGTAAGTGGCTGGACAGAATTAGAAACCGCTTTCCACCCACCTTTCTAACTACTTTCAGGGCGAGTGAGCTTCCCCACGGCTTTCCTCCTGAGCTGATGGACAGGGAGCTGACCCCATGTCACAGCGCGTTAATGGAGGAAAAGGAGGGAGGGGACAGCCACCTGGTGCCTGTGACCCTGCACCTTCTGTCCTGTAAGGCAGCCCTCCCTCTGCCCCCTTGCACATCCAGTGGGCTTGGGCCTGAGTCTGGGCTGACATCAGCGGGGAAATTCCTCTGTCTAGCGATCAAGGCTTAGAGAACAAAAGCTTCCACCCGCAGGGAAAAACTTCCTGCTCTGCCCCTAGCAAGGGAGCTCGGGTTTCAACCACACAGCCGGTGAAGTCATTGGCTGGCTGTGGGCGGAGGCAGAGGGGCTCCCAGGGCACAGAGCCTCCCCTCCAGGCCAGGAGGGGCTGGTCTGCGGGACTCAAGACTCCCTTGTGGACAGTGGGGAGGGCTGAGGCCAGGCCTTATCAAAGCCCCTTCCCTCTCTGACTCCAGTCCTCTTAATCGTAGAGCCAAGCAAGCCCCCCCTTTGCCTATTATCCATTTGCCAGTGAGGATGCTGAATCCAGAGAGGTGAGGTCAGTGGCTTGATGATAGTCAGCAAATTAGAGTCAGGGTGGGAGGACTTGAACCCAGTCCTTGATCCCTTCCTTGAATGCTTTCGAGGAGCTGAGCTCCTGGTGCTTTGGTAACTAAGCAAAGGGAGAAAGAGAAGTCCCTCCAACAAAGACCCCCTTTTTCCAGCCACCCATCCTACCCCCGGTGGAGCGCTGAGGGCTGGGTGGGAGAACATTCACTCACTCACTCATTCAGCACATCACACACCCACCATGTGGGCGAGGTCTAGCCCAGGTGCCGTGTTGTGCCCCGCTACCTTGTCTAAGTCAACCCAGCAAAGTGGGGGCTGCGGTCAAAACAAGGGAGGCAGTAACTGAGAAAATAGACACAAAGTTGCTGGGTACATGAAAGACACTTGCAGTAGTAATATTGTTTCCTCCTTCACACATTTTAGTTGAGCACCAACTGTGGACACGGAATGGTGGCACGGTGCTCCATCCCTGTCTCTCAGGCTCTGCCCCAGCCACTTTACCTGGGATTTCATTTCATCTTCGCAACCACCCTGTGAGGCCATGGAGTAAACTCCAGGATTCATAAGCCTCCCAGTTTTAGGGACTTGGACCCCTCCCCCATCCACATGGCTGAGTCCCTGAGACCATGTTTGTACTTAGTGGTCCTGCCCCATGGTCCTGGGTGACTGAATTAGGAATGGACATATGGCCCAAACTGGACCATTCAGATTCTTAACTGGGATGTCGTATCAACTGAGGCTTATCAGAACTAAGAGGAGTGGGCCGGGCGCGGTGGCTCACGCCTATAATCCTAGCACTCTGGGAGGCCAAGGTGGGCGGATTGCTCGAGGTCAGGAGTCTGAAACCAGCCCAGCAAGAGCGAGACCGTCTCTACTGTAAATAGAAAGAAATTAATTGGCCAACTAATATATAGAGAAAAAATTAGCCGGGCATGGTGGCACATGCCTATAGTCCCAGCTACTAGGGAGGCTGAGGCAGGAGGATTGCTTGAGTCCAGGAGATTGAGGTAGTTGTGAGCTAGGCTGATGCCACGGCACTCACTCTAGCCTGGGCAACAAAGTGAGACTCTGTCTCAAAAACATAAAAAAATAAAAAATAATAAAAAAGAACTAAGAGGGGTGGAGGAGTGAGAAAATCATGCAGCAGGTAGGCTGAGAGTGCTAGGGTTGGTGGCTTTCAGTCCAGGTTCTAGGCAAGGTCTGGCTGCGTTCCACCTTGGGGCCTCCCCACTAGACTTGCCATGTCCTTGCAGTGCATTCTGGGTTTTGCCTAAGCTGACTTGAGTCGGTTTCTGTCACTTACATCCAAGGAACCCTAAGTAGAACAGTAGGTACCATGATGGCAAGAACTAGGTCTTGTTCACCAATGTGTCCCTACGACCTGGCACAGAAAAAAAGGCTCAAAAGATATTTGTTGAATTAATGAAAAATGGAGGTTCAGAGAAGTTGACTGATGTGGACCCAAGTCCCACAGTAAGTAACAGCTGGAATTTGAACTGGGTCTAGCAGCTTCGGGGCATGTGCTTTTTCTTCTATACCAGACTAGCTTTCGAAAATTGCTGCTATTGTTATTATGTTAAAATGACAAGTAGTCAGAGCTGGAGTGGGCCTGAAAGATTCCTAAGTTGACTTCTTTGTTTTGCAGATGGACGGGGAAGTGGTGGAAGTCTCTCGATTCTCATGCAAGCACTTAACCCTAGCTGCCGTGCAGTCATCACGTGTGTGTGACATGGCTGTGTGGGTCGTGGAGTACTGAAGTGCTTTCATACTAGCTGATGAATAGCAGCTGTCTCGAGCCCCATGTACCCCCTCCTTCTTAACCCCTTCCTGCAGTACCTCTGGACTTCTATCATCCATAGCAATGGGGTCACGCTTAATCTAACACGGAATCCAGGCCCATTCTGATTGGCCACTACTGTGCTGTTCCATGTGCTAAGTATTTGGAATATCAGCCCTCCACTTACCTGGTGCGACATGAGAAGTTCTGGTTCCTTTGTCTCTCCATTACCGAGATCCACCCCCTCTACCTCCCATGGCAGCTGAAATTCCACTGTTCAGAGACATTCATGCATCTGTTCACTCTTTCCCTGCACAAATATTTACTGAGTGCCTATTCTGTTACAGGCTGTCAGACCCAGGAGCTCTTATTCCCCACCACTGAAATTGCAAATACCCCCAGGGAGGGAGAAATCTGAAGTCCATGTGGCCCCTGTGTCATGGGGATGATTTGGCAGCGAGCCAGGATTACTGCTGGATTGGCTAAGCCACCTGCAAAAGGCCAGCAGCAAACAAGAGGACCAAAGAAAGCCAGCAAGAATGAGAGAAAATGCAGAAATAAGTGGTTGTATTTTCAGCATGCATGTAAGTTTTATGGCACATCAAAACACCAGCTTTTATTCTATGAATTGGTAATATTTATTCATATTATTTTGAATTACATATGTTGGAGGTAGGTGGCATCGTGAGTTTTGGGGTTTGGGGCCTCTAAAGATCTTAACTGGGTGGAGCTGGCAGGCAGCTGAGAACAAATTCTATGACCACAATCCTGGGCTGGGCCCCTGGGCTGGGTTGAAGTTCCAGGAGGAGGAGTGAGGAATCTCAGATGCATTAAGGACTTCTCTGCGCCCCATCCTGCAACTTTATGTGTAGTATCTCATTATGCCTCAACCAACACTAAGAAGTAGATTTTATTATTCCATTTTACAGATGGGGGAAATTG